GTCTATAGTGAGGAAAACAACCTAAAGAAACTCAGTGGGGTCAGCTCATTAGATTTAGACAAAAGAGCATCCATCTAGAGAATGTACTAATCAAATATCTCTTAAGCCACACATATAGGACTTTTAGCTTGTTCTCATCTTACAACCTCCAACTTTACCGTATTATAGGTATATTTTGAGCAACCAAAACAAAGTCATTTATGATCGTAAAGTGGAAGGAAAAAAGGACAAATGGGCGGCCATTTGCCTTTTATTAAGGAGTAGCTTTCATCTGGCCACGCTAATATACAGGCTTGATTGGTCTGTGGCTGCAGAGATGGTTGTCCTTTTCTACAATTGTCTACATTTGGGCTTAATTTCAGCTATAGAAACATCTGACCAGTGGAAATAAATACATTTTGGGCTTCAGTGTAAAGGGTGTGAACACTTTCATAAATGTGATTTCTTGATTGTCCATTTTTAATACATTTACAAAACGCTCAAATGTGTTTTTTTTTTTCTTTTTTCATCGTCATAATGGTGTATTTGGATGTAGAATTAATAATTAAATGCAATTTGGAAAATGGGTGTAGCATAAAATGTGGAAAGAGTAAATGTTCCGTGAAAGTGCATGAACAACATAAAATACTAGAGAAGTAATTTAAGCATGATCTTCACAAATCTGGCTCTTAAGAAATGCTAAAGGAGTATAATTTGTCAGGACACAAGCCTCAGGAAGGAGGTGAATTGATCAGTGGAAACAAACCTGACTTAAATGCAAGCTTGTAAAAACGATAGAAAAGACACTGCAAATCACCCTGAAAATACCGTCTGCTCTGTAAAGTATTAGGGTGGCAGCCGACCTTGGGTTTAGCTTTTTCCTCAGCAGGTACAAATAAAATGATCGGAGATGACAGGAGTCTTGACTGAGCTCAAGGGAATGACATAAAAATTACAAGCTTCAAAAGAGCTTAGACTGAAACCAAGGTTCACCTGGTTCAGCTGACCCAGCTGGATGGATATAGGGTTGTGGATCTGAAAGCAGTGCAAGGACCAGATTTCTTAATTTGCAGGATTTCCTTTTTGTTGTTCCTTCACCTAAAATACCTCCCTAAAAAAGATGAGTTGGCACATTTTGTGGCAAACTTCTGACCTATGAGAAACTCTCAGGAGGCAACAATGAAAGCTTAACAAGTTGGACACAATGTTTCAGAGTGACTCTGGGTCCGGGGTGCTCCTTTAACTCCGGCTGGTGTATCACCGTGAGGAAGACGGGTGAGCAGTACGGCTACATTGGAGAGAATTGTCGGACTAGACATTAATGATTCGACTTTACTGTTCAGAGGTTAAGGGGAAGAAAGGGCCGAGTCCAGGAAGTGTCGATTGGTGTGGGGAGCTGAATCCCGGAGCCTTGTCACTGAGGAAGGTTCTGGTGAAGGACCGGAGAGCAACCAGGTAAGAGTTTGGAGGTTCCAGGAAAAAAAAAAAAGACCTGCCACTTGCTGCTGGTCTTGAAGCAAAGTTGTCCAGAGTGTTATTGCATGAATAGATCAGAGGAGAAGTCTCACATTCTGAGCAAAAGCAAGAAAAGATATCTTAGAGAGAACTTTGTTACTGTTCAGAAGTAAGACACTGCAGTAAGCCGATACCTAAATGCTGGTTTAGCAATTTAAGCTGCTCAAATTGTCAAACCAGCGTTTAATTTTCAGCTGATTGGGTTTGATGGATAGCAGGAGTTTGTGGGAGCACAGTGCTCAAGGCCCAGCCTCTGAGGAACAATGCTCAGCAGGGAAAAAAAAAAAAAAAAAACACCACAAAGGCACAACACACCCCAGATCCCTGATAAATTTAAGTTTTATTGTTATATTGTGAGAAAAAGGACAAAAATATAAAAGAAAATCCATTGGTACTATTATATTTATGAAGGAATTTATGTACCATAGGTGGTGCGCTTGACCTTTCTTAAGATTGTAAAAGAATAATATAATCTGCAGGACCTTCTTCCAAATAGTGTGCAAAGAAAAATGGGTTCCTGGGTTGTTAGGAGTATTGAGGTGACAGGTTGTGGGAGACGTTCAACTGGAAACTCACTATCATCTCAATTGTCTGGAGCGCATTACGCTCCAGCCAGTTCTAACCACACCAATGGACCAGCAGATGCACCTACTGCCTGTGTGGAGACTCGTCATCATTCTGAATCAGACTATTAGCAGTGGAATCATATGCAAATTTCAAGAGTTTCAGAGGCAGGGTAGTCATTTGTTGTCATGTGATGGTGTGTTTCCATAATGATTAATGCCTTACAATTAGTTCATGCCTTTTTTTTTCCTAATAAACAGTAATGTTTCACTGTGGTTGCACAGTGCTCAAGAATCCAATTAGAGCAAAGGACGCTGTCATTTTATGCATTTTAAAGGAAGATCTAGCATAAAGATTTTTGACCCACCAACGCTGCAGTTCCCTGCAGGCTTGTTTTGTTTTTGTTTTGGTTTTACGTCATATAGTCACGTCTCACTCATTATCTCTTCAGATATTTGTCATAAGGAACCTGTTTGTCATGTTGATAGGGACTTTTGGACACAGGGTTAAGTGGCGGTCTGTTCTTGTTGTGCTTGTGATGGTGGTTGGTTTTCTGTCATAGTGCCTTAACGGTGACAAACAACGTCAGGTTCACTTCCTTAATATGTTCCAGATTCAAAACAAACACTGCCATGAAGCCCTTCATGAATAAAAAGACAGCAATATGTTTGAATCAAAATCTTTCTTTTAGTACATTGTCATCCACAGTGCAGTGCAGTGTTGAGATAAGGCTGCCATGATATCAGACCTTTAACACTGAGATAGAAATTTAATTTTTATTATCAGCAGCCAAGGTTTTAGCTTTTCTCCCCAAAACCTTTGTTTCCTTGCAAGTTTCCTTGCAAGTTTGTACAACATTTATACAATTTATAATATGTCATTTTTAGCAATCTGTTTCTATTATATTATAATTTGATCTTAGTTATGAAACACTACATTCACATTTGGTTCATTATAATTTTGATTGGTAAAAAGTTATCTATCCAAGGAAACCCATCAGATTGCAGCAAGTCATTCACTGGCTAAACACACATAGACAGTGGATGTTGTTGTTAGCTCTGCTTAGACTGACCATGCATGTATCGGCAGTGGAGAAAAGAACGCCCTTCTTTTGCCAGCATTTTTACCCCTTCCTTACAAAAATAGCTCAAGCTCATACGTTGAATAGAAACTGTTTGACTGACAAAAATCTGGCAGTACTTCAGTAGTATGCTACTATTGCACTTGTACGCAATAACAGTAGCAATAGGTTCTCCTCTCCAAAATCCTGATGAGTCCGGTGTGTTCCTTGATCTTCTTGATGCTGTTTGTTCACTGCCAATCCTAGGAGGAACTAATCTATTTATGCTGAGAATAAATTTCACAAAATCGAACTCTTGGGCTAGATTTTATGTAGTGCGAATAAATAAAATCTATAAATAAATGAAAGCAAAATATTTTTTATTAAAAATCTTGATGTTTTGAATTATTTTGCTCCACACACCACTTAGCACTGATCTATTAGATCAGGCGAAATCCAATGAGGCTTACAACTGTAAAGTGGCACAATATGAAAAAATTCAAGGTCCATGAGGGCTCAAGTAAAGGAATGCATACATTATAGATTAATGATTGACGTCCTGTTATGTATTGCAATGGACAAGCTATTGTAACCTACGCAGACAGCAGGTATTCCTTTAAATAGACAATTTTCTGGTAAGACTACAAGATTTCAGTTTACTGCAGCCCCATGCCCTTGACATCCTGGAGCAAAAGAGTCCCCCTCCCAGTCCCACCTGCCACCACAGTTCTCTCTGTATAATTTGCACCTTGTCCATTGGTTGTGGGGTTCGACTGCCATGTTGGGCAACGGTTAAACTGTGGGGGGAAAAATGTTTGGCCTATCGACTGTCATTTGTTTGCGTAGGCCTGAGAGCACCAGTACCACACCACCAGCACGTTACCCTAACCACTCTGCTGCACAACCCAACTGTAAAAATAGATAGGAAAAGATCGCCCTAGATATGCACGCGCATTCATGTGCAGACACATATAAGACGTAAGATGCGCACACGTTCAGGTGTTGGTGGTGTGGCCTTTGTGGGGGGCAACCTCACTCAGGGAAAAGAAATGAGACAAAGAGATATGAAACCACAAATAGTACATTTAACTGTCATTTAGTGAGCATCAATCCAGCAAACTTCTTTTTTTTGTACAGCGTTGCCATTGTTTACACACTGACCCTCTTTGACCTCCCCTTCACTAGTTAAGCTGCAGTTATTGCTCACCTCCACCAGGTGGCATTAGATTCTTGAAGAAGTCAAAACGCCCATTTTCCCCCCACAGTGTCATGACAGGCTTGCTTTATTTTGTAAAATAAATTCAGCTTGCTAAATGTGGAATTTTGCATATTTGGAACCTACTGCAACACAAACAATAGGTTAAAATGTTGGATTTTTCCCAATTGTACTGTTTTTATGTAAAAATATAAAGTGACAAAGGGTCAAGAGAAGCCTTTCCCATTGAAACCACATTGTTTACGGTTTAGAAACTGGGCAATAAACTATAATTAACCAAGGTTTATATTTAAATGTCATTTTTATAGTTTATACTAATTTTGATGAGAGCCTAGGAGAGAATAATGCTAATAAAGTAAAAGCAAAGGTTGCTGTAAATCTGTGAAAGCAAATAATTAGAATAAGGGTTTGCGTGATCACAAAGCCTCACAGCTTTCACACACCTGTAAACCAATACTCCCAGTGCTTGTACTGTACAAAAGCACCATTATCACAGAGCTGAAAAGACTCTCATAGATTTCTTTAGAGATTTAGGTCAGCTGATAATCACTCGCTGTGCCTTTTAAAAATGTGATTCCTTCAAACACGAAAGTTGTTTCCAGTCGATTTTACGTATATCTTTCAGTAGGTGATGACTGTAAGAGTTGAATTAAACTAAACGGCACTCGGAAAGGTTTATAGACACAATGCTCCTCCTCCTTCAGTCTTCCTTTCCTCAGGTGAATTGAAAGTGCATTGTGTAATCCTGAAGTGAGCACCTGTGCAACAAAGGCGCGGTGAGCATGATGCTGAGAGAAGTGAGTAGAAAATGATTTGTATTATGCAAATGGAGATTCGGGATTGTTATGAAAACAATCGTGTTAATCTCTCTCCGTGGTCGCTGGAGAGCAGTGAGCCTCGGTTCAGCTTTGTCATCGTGCTGCCGGAGAGTAACGAGGAATTTAGCAAACAGTCCAGGTAAAGGCTTTGACTCTTGTAGGGATTTTTTTTTTATATTATCTGCCTTGTGAAACAACAAAGTTACAGAATAACGGATATAAAAATGGATTTTGGTAGGAATTCTACATGTATTTTGCATGTAAATAATTCACAAACTGTGTGCGGACTAACCTATCTTTAGTTTGCAGGTTAGATTTTAATACCTGAATCTGAGCTGCTCATGCCTCACTCTTCTTTCACAACTTTCAAAGTAAGTTTGTCCGAGAAGGCTGCTACATTTCTCTGAAGTCCTGCACAAAGAGGGCAAGCACAGGTTAGTCATTAGTTCCCCATAGTAACATTTTGTTTTTTGTTTTTGCAGTTGTCGTTTAGAGTGCCACAGTGACTGCTGGAAGGGGAATCAGTAGCATCAATCTTCTTCTTAATATGCTGTAGTATAAGTAGTAGTATTGTTAAACACAAGCAACGAGCCGCAAAACTGCAAAAGCTTCTCAGATCATCTCATCAATCAGTTTTCTACTTAACCAGAGTGCAGTAAAAGTCAGACTCTGCAGAGCAGGATGTCCAAAGAAGACGTCGAATCTGGTATGTGTAGTTTGATATTGAATCCTTACTTTTCTTTTTCATTTTACACTTTGTTTTCTTTTTCTGTTATACTTATTATATAATCAGAACAGAGTAAACTGAAGCATTGTGCATTTGCCATGAAACGTCGGTGTGAGTTCATCCCAAACTGGTGGAATTGTTTACTTATGAGGGATCATCTTTCTGCAGCATACATTTGCACGTCAGCCGCTCCTTTATGAAAACAAAGTCTGCGTTTCTTTGAGACCTTCATTGCTCATGTGTTTTAAAAGTTTCTGAAAACATATCTTCATGCAAATGATTATCCAAAACTATTTGCATGCACTATCAATATATAATACATGCTTTAATAAACATTGAGCTTTAAGGGGCTGTTTGGAAAAAGGTTCCTAAGCTGAAAAAAACTCCATCCATCAGGCCTCACATGGGAGGTGAAGGCAAACAGCCGTCACTATCACAAACACAAACAGAGGAAATCTTTCCTGTGCTTCACCTGGGGACGATACTCAGTAAGTCTCAGCTTTCACAAAACCACTAGACATGTTGTCCCATGTCTTCTGAATCGAGCTCCTCGCTGTCTAACCCCATGTTGCTCTTCCGTATTGTTGCCAGGACAATGTGGTGCGCAGCCACAAGTACTCCCTGCTGACGTTCCTGCCCCTGACGCTGTTTGAGCAGTTCCAGCGAGCTGCTAATATCTACTTCCTCCTCATGGTGGTGTTGCAGGTCAGACGAAAACCTCTGCTGTCCCCTCTCGCTCCATTTTGAATCTTAAATGAAGCGCTCTGCTGTAATCCAGGCTTCAGACTTGAATAGATGTTAATATGTGTATTTATTACCGAGTCCTTCGCAAAAAGTGCAGAAACACTTTCAAGATGTCCACGTTTTGTCATGCTACAATTACAAACTTTATGGTATTTTATTTTTACATTTTGTGAGAACGCCATTAGATTGGTCATTATTGTGATGTGGAAGTGAAGTAATGCATGGATTTTAAATTGTTTAGTGAAACATAATCTTATCTTTCAATCAAGTCTAGCTCCCCAAACAATCACTAGAGCAGTGTGTTGTTTTTATTTTACATAATGTTTTCCATGGTGGCTGTAAAGTTCTGTTTTGGTGTCGCCTTCTTTGACACGCAGGTTACGTCGGTGTTTGGGTTGTTTTGAGATTCAGAAACCAAAAATCGTTGCACTTACTTAGAATTAACTGATTTTTTCCTTCATGGAATCAAAGCAAAATACATCGAGGTTGGAGTTAGTAAAATCACAAATTATTAAAACGCTAAAGTGGGGTCAATGCTTTTGTAATTCTCTATATGCAGCATCTGTAATGTGTTTTGCCTAATAAGGAGTGTAAATATTTGCTTTTATTTTTTACTTTTTTCTGTTTTGTGAGTTCTAATAGTTACAACAACATTGTATGTATGTTTTTGTTTTTATTTTATTTTTTTTTTACTTTTTTTAAATCTCTGCTTTACGGCTGTCTCCAGTGTGTCCCTGCCATCTCCTCCATACCTTGGTACATCACCATCATCCCGCTCTTGGTTGTGCTCTCTGTGAGAGGACTCAAAGATTTAGCCAGTGACATGGTGAGATGACCAGTCACATCCAAGCTGACTGTTTCTGGTAAAAAATAATAATTAAAAAAATGCTAGGGGCTGATTAAAACATGTTACAGTATTCATGACCAGCCTCATTCATTTAGCCTCTTGCTACTCAAGCTTGTGTGTCCTCCCTTTTTTCTCCTTCATTGTCCCCGTCCTCTCCTCATTGACAAAAGCAGTCATCCTCATGGCATTAATTTTCTTTCCTATCATTAAAGCTTTTTCTTTTAAATGCAGGCGTGATGTTTTGCATGGAGAATTCTCTAGTTAAGTGCATCACTGAGTTACGGTCGTTAACAGCTCTGGGTGAAACGCTTGCTTGACCCCTCTTTATTGACTAATCATTTAGTGGAGGGTGTAAATCTCCCAGCTGGTGTCACTGTAGAGCCTCGTAATGGCATCTCTCCTTTCTCCTTCCTCCTGTTCAGCCCTTCATGGCCGCCCTCATTCCCTCTCGCTTGCTCCTTGTCCATCACTCTGAACTCCTGTACTTTGCCACCGGTCTCCGGCTCGGCTCTAATGCTCTTTTCCACTCTTCCCACTCTGCCGGTGTCTGCGTCTCCACCACGGTGCAGGCAAGGCGACGCTGCGACTCGGAGATTAACTCCCGACCCTGTGACGTACTCGTCTCCCAGAGGTGAGGACAAAGGCGGTGGGTTATTCTCGCAGGAGTGAGTGCAGCATCGCGGTTGAAACGGTCCACTAATGAATCTCTAATGAAGTGTAAATGAGTGAATCCCTAAATGGTTCCTTCATGAATCCAAGAGGGGCAAAAACGCAAAGTAGCTTCCGAGAAAATCAGAGGGCCGTGACAAGCATGTTCTCCTGCTGTGAAGATTTTACCTTCACTCCCCTTAGGCAAAAAATAAATAAATAAATAAAATAAAAATAAAAATCTAATTAATATTAGACCTTTAAGCATGAATCTAAAACGTTCATTTTTGACGACAAAAGAGTAACCAGGGACCTGCTCCAGAATGAACTTTTTCAAGCACAAAACTGAAATACATTTTATATATATTAATTGTGCAAAGCCCAATATTTACATAGCATTCAAGACCTTGATGAGTGTGTGTAACCAGAACTGTGTCTGACATGGTCAGATTTTAAGTGTTGTCTCTTCTTTTGAGAGAATTTAGACAGTAAGACTAATTATGTGTCCAAGTTTGATCTAAAACTTTGGTTAAATGCAACATAAACAGCAACTTTATTTGTTATTTATTCATTTGCACCCCACAGGGTAATACTACATGTATAATCAATCAAAATTAATGATAATAATTTAAAAGATCCCTTTAAGAATTATAAACTTAATGTTCTTAGAATTCAAAGTAGAAAGTTTTGATGAGCTTAATAAATCTTTATTTGGCTATTTCCTATTTTAATACCCAGCATAGCTTTTTAATTACAC